AATAATAGCTTTGGGATTCAAATTTGAATTGAGACCATTTTTATTACATTGCGTTACATAGTTACAGCATGATCAAGCTACATCACACATCCATGCTAGCATATCACAATATCATCACATCACCATAAACTTTAAAAAAATGGAACATAAAATTTGTCATTTAAAATGGTTCACGTACATGAGTTACACACTTACATCATGACCCCATCTCTCACACATACATAAGAAAAGTGAAAGTAATTACCTAGTAGTGTTATATGTAAATTGAAAATATATTATATAGACTTGCTCCTCAAGCCCAAACATTTCTTTTAAAAAAACTTAATTAAAATTATTAAATATTAATTTATTTAGTTAAAATCATTATTAAATATTATATTCCAAACATTTCTTTTAGAAAAACTTAATTAAAATTATTAAATATTAATTTATTTAGTTAAAACCATTATTTAATATTATATTAGTTAAAAACATATTAATTAATAAAATAATCTAGTCATAAATAAAATATCTTAACCATCCTTGCCAATTAATTAAAAATAATTTTTTTATCTTAATCATCGTTGCCATGTATGCAAAAGTAGAGATGGACTACAAAAATCTAAAGACCATCAAAAGTAAAGAATCAAAATCGCTAATTTTGTAATAGAGAAACCAATTATTTAAAACACTCAAATTAAAAGGACCAAAACTGCATTTAAGTTTAAATAATTAAATAAAAAAGAAATAAGTTATAATTTGCTACCAAAAGGACACACGAGTTATACTTGAGCAGGGTACATCATCAACATCATTTTTTTATTCATCTCAATATTCATAGGAATCATATAAAATAAAATTGAAAAAATTACAAATGAAATTCCATATCATCTTCATCCATCTCTACACAGCATCACAGTATTAACCAATATTACATATCCATTACATCCATCCCATTACAGCAATGAAATTTGAAAGAAAGAAAGAAAAAAGAGAATTGCCATCACCCTGCATCCATACAACGTCATGCCATGCTATCATCCATGAGCCATTACGCATGCTGCATAGCAACATTTTCATGCCATACATTACTCACATCTTTGTCACGCTTTTGCTCACACTACTCACATCTTAGTCGCGCTTTTGCTCACACTCCTCACACTTTCCTCGACACGACACTGTCACACTTCCAATTCTTCTTCCAAAATTCCACACGATTCCCCTAAGCTACCCTTATGAAACCACATCTACACTCCTTCATTCAACACACTAAAAAATCCTTAGAAATTCTTCCAAAATCGTCCCAACCCTAAGGGTGATTCATTTTATTTGTTTTGAATCTGTTAAATCTAAGGCCATATTCGTAATCAACATAAGATTTGAGTGGAGGTTTGTGTAGATGGATTTTTGATTTGTTGGTGTTTGCAGGAAATCTAAAAAAACGTTAGATCAACATTCATATGTTCATCTTAATGTTCATCGGTTTTGTTTGCTTTTAATCCAAGAAAAAGTGTAAAAGAGTGCAAAAATGTTTTTACGTGGTGGAAAAGAAGAGACAAACGGAAGGATGGGAGAGAAAGAAAGATGGAAATGAGACTCGTCTAAGTCTCTTTCCATTTTTTGAACCATTTCTTTATCTCTCCTCATTCGGACATGTGGTCAAGTTGCTAACCCTTGAATTGACATACTTCCATTGCTGACTAGGGGTCCCATGTGGGGACCCCCACCATATTATCTGTGCCCTTGTTTTCATGGCCCTTAGATCATCAAGTACTCTGATCAGATATCCCAAGGTTGAGTCAACATTAATTGACTCCCTTAGCCATTTGGAGTGGGTTGGACGTGCCCATTGGGCCTGGTGCTTCCAGCACCCTCTGTGTGTTATCTACTATTCTTTTTATTTATTTGTATTTTTTTTGTTGTTGTTTCTTTTGGTGGGCCTTAGCCCATGTTTTTGTTTATTTTTGCTTATGTTGCGCCACTCCTATTATTTCCTACACACCCTTTCTTTTTATTCTTTTTATTTTTATTTTTCTTAAATAATTTTAATTTAATTAAATAAAAATGTTTGTAAATAAAATTAATATTTTAAAATAAAAGATAAAAATCTTGATCAAAATCAAGTGGCTTTCAAAAATGAAAATTTATGACTTCTCGCCATTAAATCCAAGTCTTTGGATTCAATTCTAAATTAATGCAAACCAAATGTTTGACCCGACCAAATTCATTTTCAAAATCAAATCAAAAACACTTAACTATTTCAAACACTTTTCACAAATAAGGTGAAAAATGAATAGTTTGGCATATACTTCTCTTTTTCCCGAGCATTTGGATACCTATTGTATAGTTTGACTATCAAAGTACTCCTCATCTTCAAAAAATTCTAATTCTTTTCGCGTCAAAATCGATTCATAGTAAATCGGGTGAGAAATGAATAGTTTAGCATATGCTTCTCTTTTCTCTGAGTACTTGACACCTGTTATATAGATTATCTGTCAAGTACTTGTCAACTTCAAAAAAAAACTAATCATATCTAACCATTTCACTATTAATTGGGTGAAAAATGACTAATTGAATGTATATCCCTATTTTCTCCAAGTACTTGGATACAAGTTGTGTAGATCGACTATCCGAGGAATCATTATCCACTCAAAAACATACTCTACCAATCAAAATCGTCTTCTCGCCCTCGCGCGATCGAAAACCTTTTCACAAACAGACAATGTTTTATTTATTCTACCACGATACAAGCAAACGTTTAAACTGCCCCTGCGCGAGAGGACATGCAACGTTTAACTGTTAGAATGCGACATAAACATTCATTCACTAAAATCAACCAAAAAATACATGGTTTTCTACCAAGAACTACGTAGCTTTGAGTTCCACATCACACGCGGGATACGTAGGAGCGAGATTCAACGTCTCATCAAACACTATAATAAAAAATCCAAAAATATCTTTGTCTTGTCCAGAACTATGTAGCACCTGAGGATATGTAGGAGCAAGACTCGCAATCTTTTCAAGCAATCTATTAAAAAAAACATTTTTGAGTCATTTCCTTTTTCCTTTTAAATTTTTAGTAGCTAGAAGAAAACAAATAACAAAAACTGACATTTTATTCGCAAATCTAACTAAATGGTTCCCATTAAGTACAAAGAATGTGAGGGCTGCTAATATCTTCTCCTCGCATACTCGACTCCCGAACCTGAGTTTGCTAGCGACAACCATTTTTTTTCTTTTAAGAATTTTATCGATATTTTTCATTTCCTTTTGGAATAAATGAAGTTCGGTGATGACTCTGTTATCATCTCGAGTGTGCGAATGTTCGTGGTCATTTTTTCCATCGCGACAAAACCAAACTTAATTTTAATTTAAATTATTATTATTACATCTAAAAATCAAAATTTGTCTTAAACTAATTCTATGACCAAAATATTAAAATGATGTGGATCAATTTTGTCATGTGCAATTAAAAGCCAATAATGTTAATAACTTGTTGTTCTACTTGTGACCTTAACTTTATAGTCTTTCCTCTAGTTAATGGTCATTCCACTCCTAGATCTTAAATATCCTTAGCTTTTATGTAGGGATGGTCTTATTCATCCCATCTCTCTTTAAGAGAATTTGTCCTCAAGTTAGCTCTTCTACATCACAAGGAGACAGATCACTAACATCGAATGTAGCACTAACTTCATAATCATTGAGAAGATCTCTACCTTGTATGTATTGTCATTTATCTGCTCCAACACCTTAAAGAGGAAATCATCCCTTGATTGAAAGTTTGATTTCCTTTGAGAGGTAAATCTATCCTTCCTCAAGTGAATCCAAACTCTATCAAGATTCAAAAACCATCTTTTTTTTTCAATTCTTGTTGGCATTTTTTCTTGGTGTTCCAATTTCTTTTCAATATTGGTCTTAACTTTAGCATGTAAATTCTTTACATACTTGGCCCTTTCTTTTGCATCCCTACTCAAAAAATCATAACTAAGAAGTAAGTAAAGTAAGTCAATCAAGTGAGTTAGTGGGTTAAAATCATATGCACCCTTAAATAGATAAAATGATGTGGTAACGTATGAAACTCTATTATATACAAATTCAATAAAAGGAAAATAGTCTTCCCAAGTCTTTGTATTTTCATGCAACAAAAAAAAAGTTGCAAGTATGGTGTCAAGGGTTCTATTAAACATGTCCATCAATTTGAGGATGGCAAGTAGTGAAAATAGTAACTCGGTCCCTAACAATGAATTTGAATAAATCATGCAATTTCACGAACTCTTTGAAAAACAATAAAAATATTCATCATGCTTCATTTTAGACCAAATCAATGCACCTAGAACAAATTAAATATTCATCATGCTTCATTTTAGACCAATAAAAATATTCATGCAATATAAGAGTCTTATACTCCCCTAAAATGTCTCATTAAATCTCCTTCATGCACCTCTCTAAAAAGCAACACCCTCAACAAATATTTAGGAATGCATAATCTATTTCTCTTAAACGAATATGATCATGTCTATAATAAGAATCATGTGACATGAGCTCACAATCATGACAAAGAGAAGCAAAATCAACATCCAAGACATACAAATCTCTAATATGATCAAAACCAAATGACATGATTAGCCAACTATTTGAAAGTTGTTCTCCAGTTATTTCACTCTCTATTCCAAATTTAATGCCAACGACTTCTCAAGTCTAGGTATTGGATGTCTATTTAATGCTAACCACTTCTCAAGTCTAGATATAGGATATCTCTATACTCAACAATGATTTTATTAATGGCACGAAAGATTAAAACTCTTTATATATTAAAGATAACATAAGTATCAACCATATTTCATTTCAATCTCAATGGAGAACCTCCAAACTAAGTATTACATAACCACAATCCTCAAGTGAAACGTAGAAAACATATATGTACAGAGGATTAAGGCATTCATAAAACCCCCCATTTTCTATCAATCGTGTTTAATATGAAAAATAAAAAAAAATGAAAAACAGTCGATCCCTCTTAGTTGTTATAACAAAAGCAATTGTGGAATGAGCTTGTAAAGAAAAGACAGCTCAAGCTGTGAAAATTGAGGCTTTGACTTCCCTTCCACCTTCTCATTTCCCTCACTCAATCCCTCTTCCTCACCCATTTTTGATGGTTTCATCATATCTGCAACTGCTTCTGTTATCTCTTGCACAAAATCTACTATCACCCCATCAATTCCCATTAGGTGCTGCATGTATACCGCTTCTGGAACATTACTGTCATCAAGCCAAATAAGGTTAAATCAGTAACAAAACAAGAATGTTACATCAATACTTTCAACAACAAATAAGGAAAAAACATGGACTAAAAAAAGACCAATAATGGACCACATACTTCAATTTTCCATATGTTAAAAGAGAAAGATTGGACTCCTTGATCTTGCTTACTGCTCCTGGATTTCTAAAAATTCCTTTAATCTCAGAGACTATTCCTTCCAATCCATTTTCCAAACAGAGCTTTAAAGCTTCTTCCAAGGAGTTTCTCCTCGAATCTTCATAGAATTCACACCCTCCATTAGTCAAAAAGAAAACCTGCCACCAAAAAACAATCACAACCCATGTTAGAATCTCACAAAATATCAATAAAATTTCTTCCAAATTATCAAAAAAGGCATTAAGAAAACTCACAGGGTAAGTTCTTTGCAATTCCCTAACAAGTATAGCAGCATCAGGTTGAAAAGTAGAGAATATAATAGGCCTATCCTTGGCATAATCCATAACAATCTGTTCAAAAATATTCATCAAATTAGCAAAAAAAAAATCAACAACACCAAACATAATAATCTTTCTGTGTAACTATTTATACCTTTAAGATGGTTTGAAGGACATGAATGAGATAAGCTTGTTCATAAACAATATGGTCATCAAATTTCAACTCAATGTTAAAACCCAAAGAAGGTTCAACCTTGAGAAAAGCTTCTTGAAGGGTACAAAGTGTGTCATCTTGTTCAACTTCCCAATTACATATCCTTCCATCTTTTGTTTTTCTTACCAAAGCTTTTCCTTCCGTTCCATCCTCTCTTTGAAGCCCATAGGAAAGAAACTCAGATAAATACAACTCAGGTATCCTCTTCCCAAACACATTACCCTGAAAAAATCCCAAAAATACACTCACAATCACAATCAAAATAACCACCATAAAAAAAATTATTAATCAAAAGAAACTTACATTTTCCTGAGAGTAGATGTAATCATCATGGAAAATGACTGGGCAGTCATCTTTGGTGACCTACAAAAAACCACATGCGGATTTTGCTTTAACTTTTTCGTCTTTATTGCTTCATTCACCTAAAACTATTTTTTCGTAGTAAAAAAACCCAAACCCAAACCCAAAAGAGGGGGAAAAAACAGGTAGAAAAAAAATCAGTATCGATTCATCTGAAAAACTCGCAACAGAAAAACCCTTAAACCCCGAACTTATTTACGAAAATTGCCATCGAGGACATAAACGGAAACCATGTTGAAATTTGAAATACGCGGCGAATCCGGAAAAAGAACATGCATCCGAACTAGTAATAATCGTTTCTTTTTCCGGATAATTTTTCATCAAAGATTTGAGAGATAATAATTGTTGAAGAAAACAGAATGTACCTGAACGTCGAATTCAATGAAATCAAGAGGAAAAGAAGAAGCGGCGTTGAAAGACATGATGGAGTTTTCTTTGATGGCTCTCATTCTCCGGTCAGAAGATTGAATAACATTCATACCGTTTCCTCTGTGTCCGATCACAACGAACTTCGGCAATTTGAATCCTCCATTGTTCATCTCCAAACCTGAAATAAAACCAAAATATCAAGAAAATGGTTGATATGAAGAAAAACGGTGCATGGATGAACGAATGAATGAATGATACCGTTGGGGAAACGGTTGAGGAGGGAGAGGGAGGGATTCTCCGGGACGAGGTCGAGGGAGGGAACGTCGGAGACGTGGACGGCTTTGAGAGCCATTGGTGAGAGAGGAGAGAGGGTTTGGTTGTGATGAAGGTTGGTTAGGTAGGTTGATGATGATGAAGCGTGGAGGTAGAAGAGAAAGGTTTTGGGGTATTTATATTTGTTGTTATTGAGTCGGAATGTGTATTGGGGAAAATTGACAACGGGATCTCCGCACCGAATATTCTATCTATATGTCATATGCTTTTGGATATTCCTGGTTTTGTATTTTGGAAAATTCAATTGCGTTGACACTTATTGACATGGATACAACTCAGGCTAATTTGAGAGGTGTGATATCTTATCTTGTGACAACTTTTGTTTTTTTGACTAAGCAAAGACAATTTGTTTCGGTAAAGAAAATAAAAACAATGATAATGACAATTTGTTTTTGGGTACTTAATATTATTGCATTACTATCACACTTTTGGAAAAATACAATAATATTTTTATGATTTTTTTGGATGTGTTTGGTTTGGGGTAGATGGAGGAAGAGAGGGGAGGGGAAATTTTTAATTAAATATGTTTGGTTCAAATTTTAAGAGGGAAGGGGAGGGGAGCAAAATCCTTCCAAAACACTTTTTTTGGTTCCCTCCGAATTTGGGGGATTTGGAGGAGAGGTAATATGAGTTTTGATATTTAAAAATTATTATAGTTACTATTATATCTTCATTTTAATTTCAATATTTCAAAATTATTTGTTTTCTTTCGTGTTACTGTTTTTTCTCAATTGTTTCCATCAACTTATTATAATTGTTCTCCACTTTCAAATTATTTTATAATTTCAATACTTAATATAAATCATAATTATTGTCTTTTTTTATGAAAAAAATTATGTTTAGTTATATTCGTTTTTTTTTATTTTGTTAGTTATTCTATCATATTTTCTTTTATATCAAATTATAAACTATTTATTTTATTTATTTTTGTTTATTCATTTTATTAAATATTTTGAGTCATTAATATTTAATAATAAGTTACTTTATATATTTGTTTTGTTATATGATTCATCATAATTTAAACGATCTTATTGGCATATAGTTTAATTTATATTGGAAAGTTATAAATCGAATCAATTGTACTCAATTTTTTAACTTTATGTGACAAATAAATATTTTTTTAATCACTCAATATTAAAAAATTTATTACCAACAAAAATACGCATAATTTTTCATATTTTAATATCATATGACTTATATAAGATCATAAGGATAAAATTGTAAATTATTAATAAAATCTCTCCCCTTCCCTTCTGAACCAAACACATTTTTAATTAAAATCCCTCCCCTCCTCTCTTTTGAACCAAACACTTATCTGATTAAAAAAATTCTTCACCTTCCCTCCCCTCCCCTCCCCCTCATTTGAACCAAAGATTTATCTCCTGACGCTTATATATTTTTTATTTAAATTTTAAAGTTAGGTAAAAAAAAATTACGGAAATGTAACTTTTGTAATTTACGAAGATGTATTTTTGTACATTATTTATTCAAAAATGTTTTAGAACCTTTTCTTCTTATTCATTTCTAGAAAAATACTCTCTTTAAACCACTTAAGTTTTTCAAACTCTCTCAACTCACATTCTCTCATAATTATTCGATTAACTTCAAAGTTTCTTCCATCAATATCATGTTCATCAAAGAACTCACTCAACACCGAAGTAAACTAACAATTTGTAAGTTTTTTATTTTTCTAATTTTTTTTTTTGAATTTTTGTATAAATTTGTAGAATTTGATTATTATGTTATGAAATAGATAATTTATACATGTTTGATAGTTTTATACATAATGAGAAACGTGTTTGATAGGTAGTTTTATTTATCAATGTAATATTTTTGCTGCTTTCGGAGACTGCATTTCTGCCATTGTCGCTGTTGAGAGTTGCAGAAAATCTCGAAGATGCATCTACGAAATTTTTCAACGTTTTGATTTCCTGAAACTGGAGATGCTTCTAAAGAGTTTTTCAGTGCATTTTTTTTGGCAATTTTTGTTTGTACGCATTGTGTGACGCTTGTGTAGTTTACTTACAGGCATTATAGTATATAACCAAGACTAATTAAGACACAACATGATTGTATAACATGCATCTTTTCTGAGGAAAAGGAGTAAACCATCGCAGGCTTCTATTAGCTCTAGCCCGGTTGATGCGGAGACGTCGGCTTCTGGGGCTCATGTATCTCTGCCTTTTTCTTCTCATAGGATACAGGTGTCACCTACTCATGCATCTCTGCCTCCATATTCTCGTAGGCGATAGGTTTCACCTTTTCATGCATCTGAGCTAGTAGATGTACCCGTGTCACATGAGGTACCTCGGGAACTAGAGGTATCTGAGGCACCCCATCCCAACAGGCAGCTGAGGTACGTGAAAGTAATATTTCTTGGTATTTTAGTGTGTGTGTGTGTGTGTGGGGGGGGGGGGGGGGGGGAGGTCATTTTCATAAGACTTATGCAACGCCATTACTAATGATTCATGTGTTTCAACACTTTTCATGCTTGGTTCCTCTAATAGAGATTCCCACGCACATCTGGCTGGTCATGTCTGTCGATCTATACTGAGGATATGCCACATGCTTCTGTATTCGCCTCGCTCAGAGGGAACTAAGTGACAGAGCCTTTCAGAGTGTGTATTCACTGCTTGGTAACAGATGATATACACTTTCATACATACGTCGATCACCGTGAGACGCGGCCCTTTGATGACATAGTCTTATAATCTGGATGGTTGGCTTGCGGTTCACGTTTAGCGTATCCCCGTCTGCTTGAGTGCGTCATACGGTAGTTTGGTTACATGCAGTATATTCCCAAATACCCTTATGTGTCTGTTCCTCCCACTATGACACATAGAGATATGGATGATATGTTTGAGGATTATCTTAATCATCTGGTACCATAAGAGGCATGAAGAACCATAGGTGCTAGCGATTGGAGCTACTTAGAAGGTTACGTCTGGTAGTTCTTCAGAGTGTCACATGTAACAGCCCAAATTTCATTAAATAATTAATTGTAGTAATTAATTGATTTAGTGGGATTTTTATTAATATTGGAAATTTATTTTTATTAATTGGAATTAATAGAGAATTGAGAAGGAAATTGGAAGGAAGGAAAATAAAGGAATATATAAGAGAGAAAGAAAAGAAAAGAAAGATAGAAAACATTTGGAAAGAAAGAGGAAAGAAGAAGAAATGAGAGAAAGAGAAGAGAAGAAGAGGAAAAGTGGAAATCATCAAGAACCAACATCAAAGCTCCGATTAATCGAGGTAAGGGTGAGAAATGTTTCTATTTGATCATTGTATGATGTTATGTATGTTGGGTTGGGGTTTTGGTAGAGTTTTCATCACTTTCCAATTAGGGCAAAAGTTGGAATAATCGGTAGATTGATGATTTAATCGGTTGGAACTGAGCAATAATGCCGTAGAATAGTTGGGTAACATGTGTTGATGCTGTTTGTACTGATTTTGTTGTGTGAGAAGTTGGATGATGGTGGATGGTGGAGGTGGAACAGAATAGGGTTCTGTTCTGCGCAGGTTTGCTGGCTCTCGCCAGGCGAAGCCTAGCGAATGTTGGCGAATAATTATATTTAAGTCCCAGTGGACTTCGCTGGTGGGTTCGCCAGGCGAAGTTGAGTAGCGAGGGTTCGCCCAGCGAAGGTGCTGGCGAATGGTGGCGAATGAAGTCAGTAGCTACTGACTTGGGCTCGCTGGGAAGTCTCGCCAGGCGAAGCCTAGCGAGTGTTCGCTGAGAGAGTTCGCCAGGCGAAGGCCAGGCGAAGGTTCGCTGCTAGGGATGGCAACGGGGCGGGTCGGGGGCGGGTTTAACTATACCCGCACCCGCACCCGCCTCCATGTAACAGACCCGCCCCCGCCCCCAAATCCAATCGGGGGTGAAAATTTACAACCCAGACCCGCCCCTAGTAGAAAACGGGTGCACCCGCACCCGCCCCGCCCCCACCCGCAAAAAATTATTATTTTTTTAATTATAATAAAAATTAGTAATTTAATTAAAAAATTGATTATTTTAATAAATTAATTAATTATTTAATTAAAATTTTAATTAATAAATGAATATTAACTTGATTAATTTTATTATTTTAATTGCAATAAGAATATTAATAACTTAATTAAAAGTATAATTAATTAATAAATATTAAAATAAATAAAATAAGGAAATCAAAATAAAATATATTATTTGGGGCGGGGCGGGGGCGGGTGCCGGCGGGTCTTAGTGTCTACCCGCACCCGCACCCGCACCCGTACTTAAGAACCGGGTTTCACCCGCACCCGCACCCGCACCCAATTAAATCGGATTTCCCCCGTTAATTTCGGGGCGGGCCCGGGCGGGCCCGGGCGGGCCCGGGTTTGTTTGCCATCCCTATTCGCTGCGAGGGTTCGCCAGGCGAATGAAGGCGAATTTGACAGCATTTCTCTTTTGCTGTGTTGATCATGTGAAGATGGTTTGGTTGTTTCACATAGGTGGATACCTTATGATATGAATATAGATATGACCTGTTGCGATAATGTGTGTTGTGGGTAGCCTACGGGCGTGAATCCTAGAATGGTGATTCAAAGGTTAATTGCATCAAGTATAAATACATGTGAACATAACAAGTGATTATGTGTGTATTATTTAATGAATTTGCGAATGCTCGATGTGTATACAATTATGTAATGAGTATGCATGAGAACATTTTGAATATGTGTGCATAACTTATAATTGTATGATTGGTATTGCGATGTGAATACCTTGATTGTTGTGATAATTAGAGATACATGGGAATACAATGAGGAATGTATGTGTATCGTCTAATGAATTGTGAGTGCATATATGTATGCGATTGTCGTATAAATGCATGGGAACATATGTGATATGTGTGCATTGTTGTTGAATATGATGATGTGTGAACTGAATACATTGATAAATGTTTGATATATGTTGTATGTGCAATCATGATGAAATTCTCGAAGGGGTGAATTATTCGAATGCATGGGATTAAGACGCGGGAACGGTCTTAAGTGCATTTATTG